TCATATTAATCAGGCACAACAAGAAGTTGGTAGTGTACAGAGAAAGGGTTCAGATATTGTTAAGTAGAATCCTATCTAATAAAAGAGAAACATGGTAATTGGCGTACGACCACTACCCTTCCCATTGGTTAATCAGGGTGATATGCAAATTAACTGCCAGCTAAGATGGCGGCCGGCAGCCATGCAGCTTGAAACTAACATGAGGCTTGCTTGCTTCAGTGACGGAGGACTCCAACGTTCCCCACCTGCCTTGCCGGCCTCTGAGCTTGCAGTTTAAGAAACATAGTAACAAATATAGAAGCTAAACAAAACCCCAGAAACCAGCTTTCAGCCGGCTGGGATCTCAGAGCTGGAGTTGATACAGAGTTTTGATTATAGAACCAAAACAAACCAGATACCTCCTTTCAGGAGCGGAGGCCTAAGAGCTGGAGCCTCAGAGCTAAAGCTGGCTCAGAATAAAAAAAAGAAAAAAAGGAGCAGTTGGGAGCTTCAGTCCCAGCCTGAAAACAGCCCTCAGCCCCTCACCCAGACTGGCCAGGCACCCCAGTGGGGACCCCCACCCTGAAGGGTGTGTGACCAGCTGCAAACAGCCATCATCCCCTCATCCAGGCTGGCCAGGCACCCCAGTGGGGACCCCCACCCTGATCCAGGACACCCTTCAGGGCAAACCAGCCAGCCCCCACCCATGCACCAGGCCTCTATTCTATATAGTAAAAGGGTAATATGCCTCCCAGCACCAGGATCAGTGGAGCCGCAGGGCCTCCCGGCGCCAGGATCAGCGTGACAGGGGGCAGCGCCCAAACCCCCTGATCACCCTGCGGCTCTGTGTGTGACAGGGGGCAGGGCCACAACCTCCCTATCGGCCCTGTTCTGTTCGTGACAGGGGAAGGCACCCCAACCCCCTGATCATCCCTGCTCTGTGCCCGATAGGGGTGAGCTCCCCAACCCCCTGATCGCCCTGCGGCTCTGTGTGTGACAGGGTGCAGCGCACCAACCCCCCCACCCCACGGGCCCTGCTCTGTGTGTGACAGGGGGTGGCACCGCAACCTCCCCATCGACCCTGCCTTGAGTGTGACAGGGGACGGTGCCCCAACCCCCCAATCGGCCCTACCCTGAGCGTGACTGAGGGTGGCATCACAACCTCCCGATCGCCCTGCTCTGTGCATGACAGGGGGCAGCGCCCCAACTCCCCAATTGGCCCTGCTCTGAGCCCGACCAGGGGCTACACCTAGGGATTGGGCCTGCCCTCTGCCACCAGGGAGCAGGCCTAAGCCAGCAGGTTGTTATCTCCCGAGGGGTCCCAGACTGTGAGAGGGCACAGGCCGGGCTGAGGGACCCCCCCCCCCCACCCCCCGAGTGCACAAATATTTGTGCGCCAGGCCTCTAGTCTATTATAATAAAAGCATAATATGCTAATTAGACTGGACATCCTTCTGGATGACCTTCTGGATGAAGCCACAGTGGCGTGATGAGTAAGCTTAAGTCTTTGTGAATGAGGTAACTAACTTCCCTAGAGTTACGTGAAATACTAATGGAGGGTGGCTTCATACTCTATATACTAAAGTAGGCAAGTATTTCTTGTGTTAGGCATAACCCTATAACATTCTATAAACATAGTATATCCCAAAAGAACTCACTCCTCCCTAAATTTCCCCCATTTCAATGAATAATGCCGCTACTCACTATTATTAAGATCAAAACCTAGGAATCAGCTTTGATTCCTCCTTTTATTCCACACCTCACCCCAATGCATAAGCAAGTTATGTCAGTTCTTCCTTCAAATATTCCCTAAATCTGACCATTTCTCATCACCTCCATTGCTCCCCTTAGTAGTATAAGCCACCATCCCCTCAAACTTGAAGTATTTCAATCACTTCCTAACTTATCATCCTACTTCCCCTCTTGCTTCTCCCAACTCCACACATGGCCAAATGGAGGCCTTCCCCACCACCCAGGGAAGGCTTCAGCTCAGTGGTAGCAAACTGGAAGTCTGTGGGCCAACTCCGGCCTCAAAATATGTTTTGTCTGGGATACCCAGTATCTTTGCAAAATTAAAACAGTTGCCAACATTTAAACTTAGAAAAATTTACATAAAATAGATCCAAATGTCTGGCTTGTCTGGAAAAACACACATAAACTTTGGCAATGCTGAGTCCACAGTCCTGCTGTGCAACATTCAGCTGGGGCTGAGAAACAGGCTTTCAGGGGGTTGCTTCACTCCTGATGAGGGCTTGATAGACATTTGAGTCTGAGCTTCAGGTTCACTTCCTTCCTGTCTATCCCTTTCCCATCATCACTTGCAGCAGTTTTAACCTCTAGTTGACCCATCCAACACCTTGGGTCCAAGTTTCCTGACCTTCCCACCCAGCGATCTTTGCTGTCACCTTATCTCAGCTTCACACCTCTATGTTGCCCCCCTCGCACCTTATTACCAGTAAATTCAAAATAGCGCATAATATAATGCCTGGCACACAGTGAGAACTTAATAGATGTTTGCTGAAAGATTATTTTAAGATGAATATTTTCCCACCATCACATCTACCAACTGGCCTGCCTAGGTACCCATTTTTCTCTGCATTCCCTATTATTTAATGGAAGAAGTATCCCTGCTCACATTTGTGTGTTCTGCAATGTAGGCCTTCCACATTATTTTGAAATACAAATATAACTTTGATTTAATTTGAAAATCCATGTTGTCCAAGATGCTCTAAGAATATCCGAGATAAGCGAATATTACACTTGTCAAAGAGTGGTAATAGACAAGCCATATACAGAACATCTTATTGTGCTGATTGTAACCATAATTAACCATTATTGAGATCCCACATTTGCTAATTACTGTTCCAAGGGCTCTTCATGTAACAACCCATTTAAGCTTCACAATAACATGAAACAGGCACTATTATTTTTCATTTCCATTCAACTGAAGTACAGAGAGGCCAAGCTACCTGCCCACATCCCCATAGTCTAAGATAGCAGAGCACCACTCTTATCCTTGTGCTCTACTGCCTCCTTTTTAAAAAATTAAATTAAAAATGTGAAAAAGTAGCATAAACTGCCATAGTGAGGCAAAGGATATTGCTGAGATGGACAGGGGAAAGCAGGAACGAAAGAAGGAAGGGGGACCTTGTGCTTCTACCTCTAAAATTATCTCAAATCTGTCCTCTTCTTTTCTTCTGTATTTGTTACTGCTCTATTCCCAGCCACCACCATTTTACAACTGGAACATTGCAACAGCCCCCTAACTGTTTAAAGTGACCCTTTCTTCTCCTCAGAGCAGCCACAACTGGCTGTTAAAAAATATAAACCAGATCATCAAAGGATTTCCATTGCATTTGGCATAAAATACAGATTAGCTATGGTCCACTAGACACTACATATCCTGGCCCCCGCCCACTTCCCAACCAAATTCCCTACTGCCATGCTGAGGAAGAGCAGTCTTCCTCCTTTCATTGCTGGAAAACATCACATTCTTTTCTAACTCAGGGCCCTTGTCTGGAATGCTCTTCCTCCTGGCCCTCTACCCAGCTGGCTGTTTTAGATCTCAGCCCAAAATGTCACCGATGCCCACAGACGTCCCCCAAGACATCAACTTCTTCCCTCAAGTTACTCCTTATCACATGATTCTTTATCACCTCACTTAGAATTATCTGAATATACTTTACTCCCTTACCTTTTATTGTTTGTCTTCCTTACTTGAATGTAAGCTTCCTGTTAGAACAATGTCTAGAGTGTGATTGATAAATGAAATAAGGTACTGCTTATATGACTCTTAGCACAGCTCCGTGGTCCCTACATGTATGACACTGGCCAACAACTAACCAGTTATTAACTTCCTAAACTAAGCCAAGCTAATTTCTCAGGATATTTTTTATCTGAAAATTGTCCGAATTAAGCTAAAGTCTTGAAACCTAATTGCTCTTAATTTTTTGATGGTTTACGACAGGAAGCTGCCCCGTTTCCTTGGTCATGCGCCTTCTCTTCCCCAGTAACACATTGTTTTATACCATTATTCTTGTTTTTCATTTACTGAAGTCCATTCTCAGGAGATGATCTTTTCCTATGAGCATCTCTGCAGATATCTATAAATGGTGGTGCGAAATCAGATCCCTTGATTGGTCATTTCCAAAACATTGGCTTTTATTCAGGAGCAGTCAACATGTCCTGCCCTTTATTTCCAAATGCTTTTATCTCTAAGAAATAAAAACAAAAACAACTATTTCCATTCTGAACAATTCTTGCTACCGATAACATGGTTACTTGGGCACTAAGAAAATATCTGCAGAGAATGAATAATGTCTTAGATGAAATCTCTCTATCAATTGGTACATTACAAAGTAAAAATCAAATGCTAAGCTCTCTTGATTTAGGGTAAAAATAAACAGCAGAGCTCCTCTACATTATCTGAGATCTTTTACCCAGAGTCATCATCCCCGCCCCCCAATTTTATTCGCCTTGATGCTTTTATGATTTGTAGAAAATATAGTTAATTTTTAAGTGCTACATTTATGAACTCAAAGTTTACATAAAATCTACATCATGAAGTCTTAAAGTAAATAGGACCCTTATGGTCTAGTTCTGCCAGTACATTTCTGTCTCCATTTAGGATGATTTTTCAGTTCACAGGAATTCATCCCACATTTTAAATACATGGAAATTAAATGATTACTCAGATTTTCTTTGGGGTCATCAGATTCAACTCATAGCTAGCGTGGTATTACTTTGGCAAGGGTTGGTTATCATACATTTTCCCCATTATATTTCTGTTATATAGATTAAAAAGCTAAATTCTTTTGTTTTATCATCTCTCCTGTTTGTTTGTTTGTGTGTTTCTTTGTTTTTTACCCTAGCTCCCTTTTAGGCTATTGAGTGGCACAGAGCTAGACAATACCAGAAGCATCATGTTCATTCTTTCTATCTAAAGACAGTGACCCTGATGGAATCATCAAGTAAAACTGAGACCCCAGGTTCAATTATTTTCTTTCTTGGTTCTTTTATAGACAATTGTTCGGCTTTGGGGCAATAATCCATATTGGGAACATCGTGTCACCTACTACCATGCTGAGTCAAAAGGTGAGTAAACTCTTTGCTAAAACAAAAGAATGAGACAGAAAATAGAAATTTTCTGTTTTACTTTTCCAGGCTGAATTGATCTCTCTGCAAATAAAAAGAAATTGCCCAATGATGCTGTAGCTTCTCTAAGACCAGAAAAAATTATGGCAGGAAAGAATTCTCTGAGTTGAAAAGCAGGGTCTTGCCGATCTGGACTTGTGCTGCTACAATTCTATTTTTGATAATCAAAGTATTATCAAAACAGCCTCTTCCTAGAAGGGTCAGGAAACTAATTAAACCCACATTATAAACAACACTGAGAACAGCAGTAAAAAGAAACCAGGGAAATTAAGCATGATGTGCGGTTGCTATTATTAACAGGTGGTGGGAACAAAGAAGTCTCTGCTTAGTAGGAGGTCTTTTTAGTGTTCTAAGCATGTGATGACCACCAGGGACATGGCAGCAGCCCACTTTTGATCAATGAGCTCAGACAGGAAAGCAATTTGTACCCCTGTCCTGCCGTGTGCACAAGGGGAGGTTCAGGGGGTTGCTTTTAATTTACAAAGCCTTCGCTACTTCTGGCTCCTTTTGCATGACCCCAGTGGTCAAAATCAATGGGGGATTTCTGTTTGCCAGCAGCAGTTCTGGGGGTTGGGGCTTTGGGCTTCTCAAGGATCTATTTGTGGCTTCATGTGTCTTGGACTTTAGTTGCTAAAACATTTGCTGTCCATTCTCATGTTGGAAGATGAAACAAATACAAATGATTACTTGAAAAAGTATTTTTGACAAAGTCTAGGAATCATATGCTCTTCTTCCATATTCTTCTTCACCATACACCTCATTCATTCCTTCGCTTCCAAGCCAACACTCAAGAAACAGTGGTCCCCACTGATTAACTCCACTTCCTTGCTTCCTTTTCATTCTATAATCCATTGACCGTTTTCTACTTTCACCAACACACTGAACCCGGCCTTATGTTACCAGTGGCCAATACCCTTTTCATTCCTTCTCTTCCTGGACTATTCCACTGCCCCTGCTCATGTGGACATCTCCCTTTCTTGAAGCTCTCTGCTTCCTAGATTTCTGTCACATTCTGGATTTCCTCCTATGCCTTTAACTATTTCTTCTTCGTGTTTATTAGTTCCCTATTTCTGTCTCCTTTCTAAAATACTTCTGCTCTCATTCTAGTTGCTTTAATCAGCCATTCTAAATGATTTTTATTGCTTATAAACACCACTTCTTAATAACAATTCACAAGTTGTATTTCTGGGTCTGCCCCTTTCTCTAAGCTCAGACTTGACTGCCCAACTGCTTATTGGATACCTCTCTATGGTTGTCCCATAGGCATCTCAACCTCTGCAAATGAAAAACAAATTCATTATTTTCTATCTAGCCTCTTTTACATCCAATTTCAATAAATGCTACCAAAAGTCATCTGTGCTGAAGGCCTTGGAATTTGTTCAGGCCTCTTACTACCTTATTCCTCATTCTCTCCATCGTCACTCCATACACACTTCTAATGAAATGCAAACAAAACCATCAAGACTTGCTGATTCTACTTGCAAAATAATTCTACTCTCTACTGCATCCCTTAGGAAAAGGGCAATCAATAGATGCCAGTTCAGAGATAATGCAGATGTTGGAAAGCAACTATAATAAATGCTCCAGCAAACAATCCATACTAAGTTTTTTTTAAATCTATCAATTACTGAGAAAAATGTTAAAATCTGCAATGATTGTGGATTTGCCAACACAAATAATTTCCATGTGGATAAAAGACTTTCATATAAAGCACTATAAAATTAAATCTACAACAGTTCTGCCATCTTTCATTGTTTATAATGACCTTAACACTTTTGAGGAATACTGATCAGTTGCTTTGTATTTCTTGAATTTTCTGATGTTTTCTCATGATTAGATGGAGATGGTACATTTTTGGCAATGTCACAGAACTGGTGTAGCATTATTTTTCCCTTTGTAATTAGTATCTTGGGGGACACTTTGAAACTGTGGATATATCCTGTATCTCCTCAAATATTACCCACAAATTTTAGCACTGATTAATGGTTCTTGCCTGCAACAATTATTACTGTGATTTCTCATGGTGATTTTCTATTCTCATTCCTTCAACATTTATTAATTAGAATTCTTCTGGAAGAAAGAGCTGTTTTATTACTATGAGAGCATATATTTTTATTTTATTCTTTGAATTATAATTTAATACTACTATTATTTTATTGTTGTTCAAATTGTTTCAGCTTTGGGAGCACTTTCCTACTTGCTCCATTGTTTTTCAATATGATTTCCCCACATTATTTTTTAGTATATCTTTCTGGCACCATAAAACACTTCAGGCTACCTTGTATTTTCAGTGTCTCAGTCTTGGAATCAAACACTTTTCCAGGACCCCTGGTTCTTTATATTAGAGAGTGACATAGGGGAACCAAGATCTGGTTGCTAGGTGTAACCATTATGACTGGATGTCATTGATTCTAGGTCTTCTCAGCAAACAGAGCTTAGTTATACACACACACACACACACACACACACACACACACACACACCCCACCACCACCACCACCACCACCACCACCACCACCACCAAATCCATGGATACACACAGAGGAAATGTGTTTCTGTATTTACCTATTTGAATACATATGTTAAAAAAAAAACAATAAATTTATACCAATGTCTAAGATGTCAAAATATTTATTCAAACCTTCTCCCGTTCTTTACTTGTAAGTTCAACAGTGAGAAATCTGGTTCTCACTAGCTAAAATGTATTTACTTACTTATTGAACTTTACTATATACATAAAGTGTTGGAATTGCCAGTTTAAAGTCCATGAAAAACACATACTAAATGAAATATTGCATTTATATGCAATTCTTTTTGTCTTTACCCAGTCAAATACTGTTTTTGCAAAGTAATTTAGGTTGGTTTTTTAGCTTCCCACCTCTCTTTCCCAGCACCATAAAAAAACTGCCTTTCTCCATTGAGTATTTTTGTCTCCTTTGTCAAATAATAGTTGAGCATATATGCATGAGTTTATTTCTGGGCTCTCAATTCTGTTTCATTGGTCTATGTCAGTTTTTATACCAGTACCATAGCGTTCTGATTACTATAGCTTTGTAAGATAGTTTGAAGTCTGAAATGTGATACCTCCCACTTTGTTGCTCTTTCTCAGAATTGCTTTGGCTCTTTGGGGTCTCTTGTCCCATATAAATTTTAGGATTATTTTTTCTGCTTCTGTAAAAAACTCATTGGAATCTTGATAGGGATTGCATTAAATCTATAGATGGCTTTTGGTAGTATGGACATTTTAACAATATTAATTCTTCCAATTCAGGAACACTGGGTGACTTTCTATTTATTTGTGTCTTAATTCTTTTATTAATGTCATAGTTTTCAGTGTAGAGATCTTTTATTTCCTTGGCTAAACTTATTCCTAACTATAAATTTAGGATGCTACTGTAAATGAGATTATTCTCTTTCTTTATTTTTCACATAATTTATTGTTAATGTATAGAAATACTACTGATTTTTGTGTGTTAATTTTGTATGTAGTAACTTCATTCAATTTTTCTATTAGTTCTAACAGTTTGTTTGATAGAGACTTTAGGATTTTAGAGACAATTTTACTTCTTCCTTTTCAATTCTGGTATCTTTTATTTGTTACTTGCCTGGTTGTTCAGGCTAGGACTTCCAATGCTATGTTAAATAGGAGTGGTAAGAGTAGGTACCCTTGTTTTGTTCCTAATCTCAAACTTTCACTATTGAGTATAATGTTAGCTTGTCATATATGAGCTTTACTATGTTGAAGAACATTACTTCTATGCCTAATTTCTTAAAACTTTTTGTCATGAACAGGTGATTAATTTTTCAAATTCTTTTTCTTCATCTGTTGAGCTGATCATATTTCTTTCATTCTATTCATGTAATGTATCACATTTATAGATTAACATACTGAACCATCCTTGCATACAAGGACAAGTCCCACTTGGTCGTGGTGAATGATCCTTTTAATTTAATGCTAAATTTGATTTGCTGGTATTTTATTGAGAATTTTGCATCTATATTCATCAGCTATATTGGTCTGTAGTTTTCTTTTCTTGTATTGTCCTTTTCTGGCTTTGATATCAGGATAATGCTAGTCTTGGAAAGTTAGTTTGGGAGATTTCCCTCCTCTTTGATTTTTTGGAAGAGTTTGAGAAGAATTGGTATTAATTATTCTTAAATGTTTGGTAGTATTTACTATGAAGTCATATGGTCCCAGGCTTTTCTTCTTTGGGAGATTTTCGATTATTGATTAAATTTCCTTACTAGTAATTGGTCAGTTCAGATTGTCTGCCTGATTCAGTCTTGGTAGGTTGCACATTTTTTATAATTTTTCCATGTCTTCTGGGTTGTCCAGTTCGATCACATGCAGTTAATTGTTCATAGTAGCCTCTTATGATTCCTTTTTATTTCTGTGGTATCAGTAGTAATGTCTCCTTTTTCATTTATAATTTTGTTGATTGGGGTCTTCTTTCTTTTCCTTGGGTAGTCTAGCTAAAGGTTTGTCAAACTTTTTATCATTTCAAAGAACTAACTCTTAGTTTTGTTAATCTTTTCTATTGTTTTTCTGTTCTCTATTTCATTTATTTCTGTTAACTTTGAGCTCAGTTGGTTCTTTCTTTTCTAGTTTCTTGAGGCATAAAGTTAGATTGTTTATTTGCTATCTTTCTTGCTTCTTAATATAGGCATTTATCAATATGGCCTTCCCTTTTAGAAATGCTTTTGCTGCCACCCATGAGTTTTGGTATATTGTACTTCCATTTTTGTTTGTCGCAAGACACTTTTCTATTTCCCCTTCCAGCTTTTCTGGTCAGGCTTTTCTGGTCAGTGGGTGTGGGGTGGCCTGACCACTGAGGGTCTGTGATTGAGCATCGACCTATGAACCATGAGGTCACAGTTCAGTTCCCAGTCAGGGCACATGCCAGAGGTTGCTGGCTTGATCCCCAGTGTGGGGCATACAG